TACTAACAAAAAGTCAAACTTGTGACCGCACTAATACGAGAGTCCACATCGCTAGCAATATGAGAAGATAATAAGACGGAATAAATATTTATTCCCAAAGAGGATAAAGAAGTATAAGGTTTTAGATGGGTATCCTACTCTTGACGATATGCCAAGGCGTTTTAATAGAGCGGCATCAGGGAAAACCCTCGTATTAGGTCCTTTGAACTACCCCACCTTCCGGAAAAAAAGTTTTTTAGAATTCAAAGGACCGTTATCACTTAAACAGGATAACAACAAAATTGAGGGATTCTTTTTAGTAACCAACAGGTACAACAATATTTCAAGTGGCCCAGATAATACTTTCAACAATCATAGGAAAACCCACACAAAAGACACAATCTAAATGTCTCCACAACAACAGATTAAACATTTTTTATTTGCCTTTATTTAACCGTAAGAACTTCAGGGAATGAACCAAATATTAAGCACCAATGCCAAAATCAAAAATAACCAATTACCTTTACAATGAAGAACTAAAACCTCAACGGATTAAAGATTAGCTAATAAATCCCCTTTCGATACACTTTCTTGAAGTCTAAGCAACAATAGTTCATTGTTGTTCTTGTAGTTGTAGTTGAGATTAAAAAAGCATCGTTTCGATTGAAATTTCGAACCTCATCAAGCATTGATAAATGACGTCAGCATTAGTTAAAACCTATAGATATAACAATGAGGACTACAAAGCAAGTGAATGCAATTGATGATTGGTAATCCAACCGTTATTATGATTGTTTGATAGCAGTTTAGCCTGTTTCTCAATATAAAAGTTAAGGTTCTTGTTGTTTTAACTGTACATTGATCAGTTAGAAGATGAGACAACTCTGAAACAGCGAACAAGGTAAACCAAGAGAAGGTTTAAAATCTGTTACTTATGGGATACTTTTAGTTTGATAATTTGATGAATTGGGGGTAGATGTGTAACAGTGATGTAAATTGGTTATGAAACATGTAAATAGAGATATGTCATTGTTTGCTTAGTTCATTTTCCTCTTCTAATAGACAATTTACTAAACATTGGTATGATATAAGATAAATGGTATTGAATTATTTGGGAAATAGTAGTTCAATTCAATAATCTATTGATGAAAGATCGATAATTTAGTTCTTAAAGTGGGTATATAATATAATAAAAGAACCGTAGAGTGAGTGTAAGAAGTTATGTTAACCAAGCCAATATATACACATTATTCACCTAATAGTAATTATCAAAATAGTGGTGTGGAACACATTGTAGCAACAGGAATTGAAATTGAAGAAGATTCTGATTTATCCGATATTCAAGATAGTTCCCCAGATACTTCGTCATTAATTGATATCTCAATGGAAAAACAAAATAGCATTAATCATAATAACGATAATAACAATAGGAAGAATTCGAGTTTCAGATTCAAGAAACTGAGTAATGCTATACCGTTATTACCTAAAAAACCATATGGAGGCAATTATCATTCCTCGATAATTGGGACCACTCAAAGGAGGATAATAAATGCAGAATCGTATCATACTTTTTTAGAATTCTTAAAAACTGATGAACAACCATTGGACAATTCTATGGTGTTATGGGAATTGTTATCTAATGATTCAAAAGATATATTTATGAATCAAATTGTAAGAAGGCATGAACAAATCACAGACCATGAGAATAGATTAAAGCTAAGGCAGATAAGGAAACCGCAAATTAACAAGAATGAAGATCAAACGAGTCTATCTACAACCTATAATGAAAATGACATCAAACTAGATATAATAAACAGTGATGATTTAAATTTAAATTTAACACATAATGAACGTTTGCAATTGCAAAAAGGAATATTGCATAATGATATTAACGATAATGAAGTTTCTTCAAAAGAACAGCTTAAGACAACTCAGCTGAAAAGTAAAATATCACATTTGTTGAACGAAGTAAATATATTATTGGATGAATTGAATGAATTGGAGAAACCAAAATCAAACAATAGGATGTCAACGACAGATGTTGGAATAGTAAAACCGAATTTCAACACAATGTCAAGAAATAGCGACGAAAATCAAAGAACATCAATAATTAACCCAATTGATTTCCAAACTAGTTTAATCAAGGAGATTGACTCGAGTTCGAATATAGATATAAATTCGAATTTACTTCCAAATGCAAACTCAAATTCAAATTCAAATTCAAATAAAATTGGCAACGAATCAAAAAAGATAATTCAAAGATTGAAAAGAAAATCTACAATGGGATTTATGGATCATCTCTACAAGAAATCAAACCCAATGGTAAAAGATGTACTATCACCAGAAAATTCATATAATCAATATATACTTAAATAATCACCATTATCATAATCATAATCATAATCATAATCATAACATAACATAACATAACATAACATAACATAACATATTCAGATATTTAATTACTGACGTCCATGGTTCTTATTTTGTTACTATAGCAAAAATATCAATATGGAATTTGGAAGTGCAGGAAGAAAAAAGAAAATTTGAACTCGATGAGATGGAAAGAAACTTTATACAAATTGGACAATTGATTGTGTAATTAGTCAATTGTTCATTGGGGAATGTTATATGTAACTATTGGGTAATTGTTCTTAAGGAGTAAGGAGTTATTGGTTTGGTTTTGTATCTTAATATAATCATTAGAAGGTAACATTGGGATTAGGAAACCAAATAAAAAAAAAATAAAGATGTCTAACGAATTTTTATTGCCTACAAATTTCACACCATCTCATTATAAGATATGGATCAAGAAATTGAATATAGATGAAAATACCTTTAATGGTAACGTTTCTATTTTGTTGAAGACTAATCAAGCATCTAATGTTATTCAATTGCATATTAGAGATATCACTATTGAAAATGCTTGGATTGAAACCAACGATGGTGATAAGCAAAGTTGTGTTTCTCATTCTTATGATAAAGTAACTGAATTTTTAACCTTGGAGTTCCCCAATGAAATCACTGCTGATTGCACTCTATTCGTCGATTATAATGGTTTGTTGCAATCTAATATGTCAGGTTTTTATAGATCCAATTATAAGGATGTTTCCACTGGTGATGATAAATGGATGTTATCTACTCAATTTGAAGCCACTGACGCTAGAAGAGCATTCCCATGTTTTGATGAACCAAATTTAAAGGCTCATTTCGAAGTTCACATCACTGCTGAAAGTGAATTGACTGTCTTGTCTAACATGCCTGAAAAGGAAGAACTAGACGAAGGTTCAATGAAGACCCATATATTTTACACTTCTCCATTGATGTCTACTTATTTGGTTGCCTGGGCTATTGGTGAATTCGAATATATTGAATCTAAGACAGATAAAGAAATTTATCCAACTTTACAAGGTTATAGTATCGAAGATGGTTCTTCCCAAGTCAAAGGAAGTTTGCCAATTAGATTATACACTGCAAAGGGTAAATCTCAACAAGGTCAATTCGCCATGGATGTTGCTAAGAAAGTAGTTGATCTATTCTCTGAATTGTTCGAAATTCCTTACCCATTGCCAAAATTGGATTTGATTTGTGTTGAATCTTATTCTCACAATGCTATGGAAAACTTTTCCTTGATCACATTCAGACCTTCTGCTTTGTTATATGATGGTGATATTGATTCAATGTTAACTTCTTCAGCATCTAAAAAGATTGCATATGTGGTTTCTCATGAAATTGCTCATCAATGGTTTGGTAACTTAGTTACCATGAACTGGTGGGATGAATTATGGTTAAACGAAGGTTTTGCTACCTGGGTTGGCTATTACGCGGTTAATCATTTGTTCCCAGACTGGAATGTCCCATCAATGATCATGTTGAACTCCCGTGAAGTTGCTCTTGGCTTGGACTCCTTACATGAATCACACCCTGTTAAGGTCAATGTTCATGATCCTAAAGATATTGATCAAGTATTTGATACCATCTCTTACTTGAAAGGTTGCTCTGTCCTTGAAATGATTAGTGGTTACCTAGGTGAAGTAAACTTTTTGAGAGGTGTTGCTATTTATTTGAAACGTAACAAATTTGGAAATGCTACTATGGAAGACTTATTCTCTTGTATTAGTGAAGTCGCAGACATTGAAATGCTATCTCGTGTTAAACCATGGATTTTAGATATTGGTTTTCCAAAGCTATCTGTTGAGAAATCTAGCAAGGACAGCAATCTATTAAGAATTACCCAAAATAGATACGTCAATTCAACATCTGATCTAGAAAAATCCTCAGACAAAAAGACTAACTGGTGGATACCATTGATGATGACAAAGGGAAATGTAACCGAAGGTAGATTGGAATTTGATTCAGAAGAGATTGATATTGGTTATGAAGAATCTTTGACATTTTTCAACACTGATGGTTACGGTTTCTACAGAGTCAAATATGAATCATCTGAATTACTAGATAAAATTTACGAAAATTTAGAAAATTTATCATCTAGATCATTAATGGCTTTGATATCAGATGTTGCTACTTGTGGTACTTTACGTCAATTTTTGGATTTGTCATTGGCAATTTCAAAATTAAAATCATTAAATGATTATTATGTCTGGAAATTAATTATTCAATACCTAGAAACAATGAGAATTGTTGTCTTTAACAGCTGTGATGCTTCTTTGATTACTAAGTTTGATAAATTCATTTGTTCATTATTTGAGCCAATCATGGAACTAGCTATAAGTTATCTTCAAAACCCAACTGAATTATTAAACAACAAGGATGATGAATTCCGTTACGCAAAAGCTGAATTATACGATGCGGTCCTAGAACTGACAGGTATGTTGGGACAAAGTGACGTTGTTAAGGCTGCAATGGATCTATTTGAAAAGAATTCTATTAATGATTCCAACAGATCCATTGTCTTTAGCACAGTTCTATCTCAAAAGAATACTAAATTGGCAACCTTTGAAAAAATTGCCGCTTTAGTAGCAGGTGCTGATTTAGCTGAATTAGAAACAATCTTGTCATGTTTGGGTTGTGTTAGAAATGAAGAATTATTTACACCATGTTTGGACTTACTTTTCAAGATTGAACCAATGAATGTTCAATATTTGGCCACCTCATTTGGTAAGAACCCATATATTCAAAGCTCAATTCTAAAATATGTTGAATCTAAGAAAACTGAACTTTTCCAAAGATTGCAAATCAATGCTATCGTGATGTGTAGATTTGTCAGTTTCACATTTTGCAACTTTTCTGAAGCTTCCTATTTGAATTCATTAAATGCCATTTTTAAAGGTGAAGATATTTCTTTATATGACAGAAACTTGAAGCAAACAATGGAACACGTCGAATTGAATATTTCCCACTCCAAGGAATGGATTCCACAACTAACAGAATATTTTATGTAAGGTCTAAATAGTTTAAGGATTCTATATAATTTTTAAATAATGTCAATTTTAATAATTACTTTTAAACTAGCAGATATACCAGTGCTGTCTATCAGTTCATAGTCCATGTCATTAGAGATGAATCAATCAATCAATGTAACTTGGCTTACATCACGTGACTATGGTTTTGGTTTTGGCAGGGTAACAGCTTTGGTAACCCCAGACCCAAAGAAACCACGTCGAAGAAAGCGAACTTTGGAAAGTTTCAACAAGATTAAGCCTTTAAGAAGGGTTGATTTAATTAGACAAGTTTGATTTAAGGCAGTTGTTGATCTACATTTCAAAAGTATATTAGAGGTAATCTAATATAATTGAGCTGGTCTACAGTTGTGCGTGAAGGTTTTGAACTAAGTTGAAAGATGACAGTATTAGCAGCTTCGATCACGACACGTAGTGGGAAACCACTTTTATCAAGACAATTTACCGAAATTACCAAAGATAGAGTAATGGAATTGTTGTCTAATTTCCAAGGTCTAGTTGCTAATATTTCTTCAGATCATACTTATGTGGAGAGTGAACATGTTAGATATGTTTATAAGCCTTTTGACGATTATTACTTAATTCTAGTCACCAATCGTCAGTCTAACATTATTCAGGACTTGTCTACTTTGAACTTATTCTCTCAAACTGTTAATTACTATTTGAATAGTTTTGATGAAGGTGAGATATTTGAGAATGCTTTTGAAATTTTGAGTTCATTCGACGAAATTATTGTTATGGGTAATAAAGAAGATTTGACTATTTCCCAAGTAAATACTTATTTGGCTATGGAATCTCATGAGGAAAAGATTCAAGAGATTATTGAACGTAATAAAGAAACTGAAGCCAATGCTGAAAGGAAACGTCGTGCGAAGGAAATTGCTAGAAAGGAGCATGAAAGAAAAATGGGAATGCCATCTGCGGATGATCTATCCTCTCATAAATTCATGGGCAGCAACGATGCTAAGATGGAAACTGCTTATAATAGTTATTATAGCCATGCTTCTGCTGCGGCCCAACAATCGTTCTTGCATTCCCAACAACAGCAACAACAGAAAGTTCAAGATCAACAATATTCTAAATACCAAGGAACAAGCAATGCATTTGGTGGTAGCGGTATGAAACTATCAGGTAATAATAAACAATCTGGAGCAGTCGCCGCTAGAAAGTTGCGTCCATTGCCAAAAGAACCAGAAGAAGATAAACCAGATAACAACGGTATTTTAATATCCATCAAAGAGACTGTAGGAGCTGAAATTTCAAGGGATGGTAGTATATTGTCCTCAGAATTGAAAGGTGTTCTAGAGCTACGTATCAATGATGAATCTCTAGCTCATGCCAAATTGCAATTGACTAGTAACGTGAATGTTTCCGACAAATCCTTTCAATTTAAGACACATCCAAATATTGATAAGAACTCATTTTTATCATCTAAAGCACTTGGTCTGAAATCAAATGATAAAGCATTCCCATCCAATGACCAAAGTTTGGGTGTCTTGAGATGGCGCAAGGTCGGAACTGCTGACGACAAGTCAATTGTTCCTTTAGATATCTCTACATGGGTAACACCTTCTGATATTCAAGAAGGTGTCTTTGATGTCACCGTGGAGCTTGAAATCAATGAGAACTATAAACATCCATTGAATGAAATTACTTTCAATATCCCAATAGGAACATCTAATGTATCTATTAGCGATGATAACAATGACGTTAATGCAACTGTCATTGAGGCAAATGAGGAAGAAGGTGTCATAATCAAAGTTGAACGCATCGAACCAGGTAGTTCGGGTGTTTTCTCATTTACTATTGATTCTGGTTCTGAAGAAACTTTGTTCCCTATGAACGTTTGTTTCAAGAACGAATTGGTCAGCGAGCAGAGCTTTACAGGCGTTGGTATCTCCAATATTGTTAGTAGTAAAGACGATTCTGAAGCTTTGCCTTACGATGTAATAAGTTACTTAAACGCAGAGGACTATTTGGTCGTATGATCAAACATATGCAGGGAACCCAGGTAGAAAACACCTCCATTGAAAGGATACACATGTATGTATATAGCTGTATATTGTATAAGATACGGTTACAATTTCGACATTTGATTAATGGAAATAAGCTCATTTTCATATGATAGTCTCACAGGTAATATCGATAGAAAATGTATATATTTATTAACTTTGTAAATGTAATTATTTAACTCGAACCATGGTAGATTGATGAACAAAACCTTAATACAATTCTGATAGGTATGTATGTAGGTAAGGCCGATGATTCGAACGTAGATGAATATTACTATTATCCATTATTGTTAATTACCCTCATTTAATCACGTGATTGTGCCTTACAGGCTTTTTGCCACCCTTTGGAAATATAAAAAAGCTTTAATATTAAAGGAAACAGAATAAGTTAATACCTATAAGATAAGTTTAAGGAAGACGACAACGAAAGAAGATATAGACAGGCCAAAATGAATCACGATCCATTTGCATGGGGTAGACCCTCTGATGAGACATATGGTCAATACAATGAAGCAATTGCCGGTGCACCAAGTTTCCCAAAGATGAACACACAACAACCTATAATTACCGGTACATCTGTGATCTCTATGAAGTATAACAACGGTGTAATTATTGCAGCTGACAATTTAGGTGCTTACGGTTCATTATTGCGTTTCAACGATGTTGAAAGATTATTCGCAATTGGTGAAAACACAGTCGTTGGTGTTTCTGGTGATATTTCAGATATGCAATATATTGAACGTCTTTTAGATGAACTACAGATTGAAAACAACTACGATAATTCTACTGGTGATGGAGCCGAAAGTTTGAAACCAAGCTATGTTTTTGAATATCTAGCTGCTGTCATGTACTCACGTAGATCTAAGATGAATCCATTGTGGAATGCGATTATTGTTGCAGGTATGGAGGATAACAAACCATTTTTGAGATATGTCAACCTATTAGGGGTAACGTACTCTTCACAGACACTAGCTACTGGATTTGGTGCTCATATGGCCAACCCATTGTTGAGAAAAGTAGTCGACAAAGAAGAAGATGTCGCTAATACGGATCTCGAAACCGCTAAAAAAGCCATCCTCGAATCAATGAAAGTACTATACTACAGAGACGCTCGTTCCTCAAGAAAGTTCTCAATGGCAATCATTGACAACACTACTGGGTTGACCTTCCAAAAAAACCTAGAGGTAGAAAACATGGTCTGGGGTTTCGCCAAAGATATCAAAGGTTACGGAACCCAGAAAGTATAATTCAACCCTGCACTAATCAAAACTGAAATTCCCCTCACATATTATACAAGAAATAAAGTAAAGTAAAGTAAAGTAAAGTAAAAATAAAATAAAATAAAATAAAATAAAATATAAACGTATACATATATATAATGATATATACTGATAGTCAACCAAAGAAAATTCATAATATCAAAAAGGAAGCCACCACCACCCAATAAAATCAAAAACAACACCCACAACTCAATCATTAATCACAACCATCTCTTGGAATCCAACCCAGCCCTCGAATAACTGGACTTCTTATCCCAAATCCCTCCTTTCTAATCGTTTCATTACATCAACAAGTGTATATCACCTTGATGATTGTTCGGTTTCTTTTGTTCGAAGTACGGGGGACCCTCTTAAGGTTTTTGGTTTCTCTCGAAAAAGAAATAATATAAAGTGAAAAGAATGTTGAAGATTCAAGAAAGAAGAGGTTTTATATAAGAAGAGGTGAACCATAAAAGTTGTTGTTGTTGTTGTTGAAGTTTGGGGTTTATGGTTAGGACAGGACAGGACAGGATAGGATAGGATAAGATAAGGTGAGATACTGTTGTTGCAGTGTATGTGTTAGTTGTTGTGGTTGTGGTTGTGGTTATACATTTTTAAGATATTATAGGGCTAGATTTCTGGAGTTGGAACATAGAGAGAGAAAGAGAAAGAGTGAGAGAAGGAAAAGTCGAGGATGTCCGATATGTTTGAAGTTACTATACTTGGGGCTTCTGGAGGTCCAGTCGATGGTAATACCCAGAGTTTTATGATTAGACCTGCGAGAGCAAGAGATTTGAATGCTGTTTGTATTGATGGTGGGGCTGGGTTGGGTCAGATTGTCAAATGTGTGCTGAACAACGTTGGTGGAGAAGAAAGTTTGAAACGAGATGAGATGAGGGTTGAAAGTTTTTATGAAAATGATTTTGAGTCTATAGATTTATATGTTGATGAAGATTTGACTATTGAGGCAGGTTTCTCAAGGGGTATTTACGATTTAAGCAGTGCTGGGAGATCTAATACGATTCAAAAAGCAGGTGCTTTGTTCCATGGCATAGGAGAATATTATATTACACATGCTCATTTAGACCATATTTCAGGTGCAATTATTAATTCACCATTGGCTTACGGTACGTCTGAGGACATTTCAAATGATAAAGTCTTTCTAGGTTTGGATTTCACAATGGAGGCATTAAAGAAACACATATTCAATGATATAATTTGGCCTAACCTTGTTCGTGATGGTACGAATACAATAAACTTAAAGAGTATTGCAGAAAGGCAAGGTTATAGGTCAAACACAATACCAGATTGGCAGATATATCCCTTTAAAGTGCACCATGGAAACAAGATTAATTCTGATACTGAAGAAAGTGTTTTAAGTACGGTTTACCTTGTAAGCGACACAGTTTCTGGTAAATGTTTAGTGGTCTGTGGTGATTTGGAGTATCGTATTGCTCCCGGTGGAGATTGTGTTCCAAGTGAAATAGCTAGATTTTTGGTTGATAATGTGCCGCCTGAGAAACTTTCAGGAATATTTGTGGAGTGTTCAAATACTTCATCGATTGAAAGTGATAAACTTTATGGACACCTATCACCTATTAGGTTGATTAAAATGGCTAAAAAATTGGAATCGTATTATTCTGATCGTTACAAAGATTTCGATTCTTTGAAATTAAATATAATTATTACTCATGTTAAAAAAATTTATGCTGAAGTTGATCCAAGGTTACAAATCCTAGAAGAATTAAAGCACCATGCATCAAAAGTCGGACTAACTAATGTTCGTTTTTCTATGGCTGTCGAAGGCTATACATATTTTTTGTAAAAATATTCACGGATGTAAGTATCTTCTGTTTAGAAGCTAACTACTAATTGTTTGTATTATTATTTCTATATATTTATTTGAATATATATCTCCTAAAAAGTTCGATCACTTAAAAAATTGTTTTTCTTATTTTTAGAGTCAGGTTAATATACATATACCTATATATGATAAAAGAACGAATATATAAATTCCATTACAAAATTTAGTCTAAATTGCACCACCGCCGTTGATTGAGTCCAATTCAGCTTCATCCATCGGTTTGAATCTAAATCTTGCTGGAAGCTCAGAAATAGCACTAACTTCACCAGCCATTAGAGGTCTATCTGTGAATTTGGTACCGGTAAACTTTGCACCTGCTTTGATGTTTCCCTTATTAGGATTATTATAAGGAACAACCACGAACGGTCTCAGCTTACTCAAATATTCACTAACACTTGTACAATCTTTAGACCCAGGGATCAATCCATCCATTGTACAAGGATGTGCCATGACAACACCAGCTTCGTGTTGTAAAATTGGATGTTTGGTACCAACAAACTTAATCATTGGTGTGTACGCTTTGGCGAACCTAATAGTAGTTTGTCTCATGTTATTATCTGTTTTTGTTGTTGAATCTACACTCTTGTTGTTAATTGAACCCAAATTTTCAGTTTTCTTTGCTGTGTTCTTGATTGATTTAGGATCAAGTTTTATACCAATCCTAGAGGTAATATTAGTAATTTTTGTAAAGAACGTCAACTTGGCGAATTTTAATTTAAGGGTTAATATAATATATAATTGAAGAAAAGAATTTCGGCGGAAAGATTGGAAACCAGAATAGTTTTACTTCAATAATTGAATATCTAGGATTCAATTAAATTTAGTCCTTTCTAATTCTTCTAATCATTCAAACTCTTCCAAACTGTCAAATTAACATTCGATGATTAATCTTGAAGTTAGTAGTCATCTTATTAAATTTCTCGAAAGCTTTCCATTGGTCAAATTTTGATAACAAGAGGAAGGAGCACGTGATCTGAGATGAACAATGCTAGACCTTATAGAGCATTATCCATATGAAACGATTATCATGACACTCGACAAAACCATTGCTATATTGTGATATTGGGTAATATTCAGTTTACTAAATTAGAATTATGTTCAAAAACCATTCCAAATGGCTCAGTTGGGAGAGTTTTATGCTTCAAGTAAGGCTACATCCAGTGGAACAATACACTAGTGAATTTGACAGTTATAGGAATCTACTTGATTGTTTTAATAACTGACTCAGTTAAGTATATCCTCATAAAGTTGCTTGAAAATAAATTAAGTTGCAATGATATCATATGTATCTAGTCAATTGTGAATATAATTGATTTTAACATTTAGGCCTGTAACACAAATTAAAATGTGTCACTATCCAAATTACCAAAGAAAATAATGTTAAGCTATTGATTTTATGAAACCGATGACAGAATTTAAATTTAATTATTTGACACTATGTTTATTCGAATTGGCATCCAAATAATGGAATACCAATAATATCAAGATCTCTTGAGTAGAATTATTGAACTGACTAGAAAGGTTTGAATAAGAAGTGGTGCATAGAATGAGTAGCATATTTAAGATTTGTAGGTTTAGATTGCTAGTATTGTCTTGAATCTCTTCTGATTCCTCTTTAATATGTCACTGTCCAAAATCAGCTTTCAAGTCGTTGTAGGTCATCTGCGCTGATACATGTATTAAGTAAAGTAACAGAAGCTAAATAGCTACAAGTTTATATTACAACTTTTGAAGAAAAGCTGAAAGGACAAATTCACTGTTTCTATAATTCTATAAAAATACTAAATTAATAACTCTTAGAAGCAATGTAGATTGGAAGTGTCCCACAGAATTTTCTGGCTTTTCTGCGATGTTCAACTATTTAGTTATATTCCTATTACTACATATTACAGGTCTTTCTTGAAAACCATGATATAGTGAATCTAAAATAAGAAAATCAATTATATAATTCAAAGTAAAGCACTGGAGGTATTACCTTTGAACTAACAATTATGTAAAGCTATCTTGACACTTGCCTTTAAACAACATTTAATATAGGCTTCTCTACATATAAATTTACCCTCACTCTCTGTTAACCATACCCACAAACAATCTAATATCCAAAAGTAATAAAGAAGACTAGAAGAGTTCCTTATAAATAGGATCAGATACACTCACTTTGGTTCAATTTAATCATTGATTGTCTATGTGAACTGTACTCAAGAAGCTTTAAGAATCTTGACTATTGTTAGTTCAAGGTTTTCCTATGATGGAAGTTGGTATACGGCGGAACAGGGAAGTTGTGCCTACTAGAAACAGATCAGATGATGCTAAGAGTCTTTCATCAGATAGAAAAGGTAATGAGGATAAGGTGACTAATAAAACTCTTCTTAGTGATCCGGATGTGTTTGCAAAATATCTACAATTACTTTTTAATTGTATGGTTGTTCTATCTTTATTTTTTATGGTAGGATGGTTTTTTTATACTATAAAGTTGGATGTCGACTTTAAGGTTGAACAAGAAAAGATACGACGTAGACTAAGAATACAAACATGCAAGGACAACTACATAAATAATGAATGTGCTCCTGAATTACGGGTCCCAGCTCTGGAATCACTGTGTGATGAATGGCTAACCTGCATCAATGAAGAAACAATTGATCTTAATACAATCAATACTTCTACCATATTATGGGCGAAAACCTTGGCAGAGGTACTGAATAGCTTTGTAGAATCCATTAGCTTTAGAACATTTCTGTTTATACTTTTATCTGTTACAGTGACAGTTGTTGTCACCAACGTCACGTTTGGCTCATACAGGGTTTACCACTATCAAAATAACGATTAAATTTTATAGAAAAGGATATAAATATGAATTATGCATTGAATAACTGGACTTGTATATAAAGTTACACATATTTTATCTATTGGATACACTAATAAACATTTCTTTTTAAAACTTTTTACTTAGGAACCTTTAAGGAATTTCTCCATTCTTTAAATTCATTTGTCAATACTGTCTCGCCATTGATAAGTTCATTGAATTCTCCCTCTTCTTCTGTTATTTCTGTCAACCTTAGGTGATTATTCTCGTATACTAATTTGTAAGCTTTCTTAATCGAAGGATCATCTCTTGGAATTTGATTTAGCAGCCATTCCGTAAAAACACCATACCATTTAATGGCGTCCACGCAACTGTTTCCGAGTTGAGGACTGTTACTCTTCAATAGAAGTGGGACCTCATCAGTGGAAAACTCTTCTACACTTTTTAGAATGAAGTTGTTGTCCCTAAAACCATATATGATTCTTGGGATACCTACAAGGAAACATTGAATCCAAGTTTTAAAGATTTTTTGCTCAAATTTTCTTGCATCAGAAGGGGTCAGAACCGCATTGGTAGTTTTCAATTCCACATAATGCTTCAAGTTATCTTTATCTTCCTCTTTAAAATCAAAAATTGCATCAACTTCAGCACCTAGCATCAATTTACAATTACCGACACCTGTCCGTACTACAGATATATATTCATCACCATTGCTGACAATTTTCTTTGGTCTCTTCTCTATTGTTGTTCTAGATGTATATGGAATCGGTTTAGATACAGTAACTAAATTTTCAAATTTATATCCACTATATACCGGTGGTGCAATTTTACCATCCTTAGGTTCTTCTTCCTTTCTTGGAACTTCTTTCATAAAGATCTGTCCATCAAAAAGTACAATTCTTAAATTTACTTGATTAAATTTTGGACTATCAAATGCTGATGATATTAATTTCCTAATAACACCTCTGAACGTAATAATGTCAACTTTGACCTTTTTTTGCTTTATCTCTTCATAGGCTTGAATTGTCTTCAGTAGACCTTTCAAAGTGCCAGGATCTTGAAAATTTTTATAATGATCTTTAAATTTCTTGATGCCACCACATAGATCTAGATTCATATCCAATTCTGCATCTGGTAAGTAATAATATCTTAACCTTGAATCATCTTTAACATTAAATTCATCCTCTGGGGTCCTGGAATAGAATGAAATCTCCTTCGGCTGCTTTAAAGAGGTAGTGTTACCCTTTTGTTTAACAAATAAATTTGATGTTACAGCCATGGCAATAGAATTAGCCTATATCAGAGCTGGTTTGGATAGGTTGCTCCTAGTAATACTTTCAATTTAATGTCAACTTGACCTTTGTTGAGATGTCTTAACTTAAATATTGAAGTGAAAAATCGTCAAATATTGTTCTTCCAGCTCGTGATTCGTGATAAATCAGCCGACTATGGTCTATAAGATCATGTACCTGGACTGATATGAATGCCTCTTACAATAATAAAATCTATTTATATCCTTCAATTATAACTTATTACTTTACTTAAATTAATATACATCCATTTCCAAGTTTCTTATCCTTTTGAAATTGTTCATTTACATCTTTTGTTACAATTATTAGTGACAGAGAGCAACGACAATGTCACCAATCAATGGTAATTGTATAAACATATCTAATTGAAATACAATATAGGAATATAGTAACATATTTCCAGATCAATTAAATCTTTCACAGCTAAATATGGATTTTATCTTGCAAAAATAAGATGTTTTATAGTACTGTGTTTAGCTCATCGTATTGCTTGTCTAAGAGTTCGCAACTTTACATCATTCAAGGAACTGTACTCATACAACTTCTTTCTGTCTCAAATAAATAAAGATATTTATTTTAACTATTAATTATCATTATCCAACTAAATTACTTTATACTTTACTTTAACGATTATTTCCGAATCATTTCTATCATATCTGCTATTTGAAGGAACTATGTTCCATATCAAAATATTGCCCATGAATTAACCAATCACCATCTATAGGAGTATATATATATATATATATATATATTTGGAAGAACTATATTTCTAAAAATCACTTTAGAGCAACTACTCTCATCATCTACTTGGTCCATACTTAATCTACCTGTATCATCAACTAGATCAAATTAAAAAAAGTTTCAAAAATCGATGAGCAACGCTAATACAATCAATTGAAGAAAACTGAGGGAATGAAAGAGAAATCATTGGGTGATAAGATTTCAAATATCATATTTGAAGAATATTCAAAGCTTAAATCATCATCGAAACCAACCACTCGTTCAAACAATGTTAAAGAATGGACAGTGCTAGCTGCAATTGTTGCTATATCCAATGATGAAAATGAAATCATTCCAATTACGATATCTACAGGTGTAAAAGCTACACCAAATGACGAATTAGAGAGGAGTTCAGGAAAGATATTACACGACTGTCATTCAGAGATCTTAAGTTTAAGGGCATTTAATACATATCTTCTTCAAAGTGTCCAAAGGGTCAGTGAAGGAGATAAATCTAAATTCATATTACCAGCAAAAGCAGATGGTAAATATAACTGGAATGAAAATTATAAAATAGCACTTTATATATCAAAGCTTCCCTGTGGTGACGCTAGTATGGATACCTTAAATGAAGATTTAGAGGATAATGAACAAAATTTCACAATTGAAGATAATGATGCATATCAGTTTATCGACCCTAAGATAAAAACAGTCATAAGAGGGAGGCTAAATTATTCCAAGAAGAATGTTGTCAGGACAAAACCAGGTCGTTACGATTCAAATGTAACTCTTTCAAAGTCATGTTCTGATAAACTCTGTATGAAGCAAGCTAAATCAATTTTAAACAGTCTCAATTGGGACTTATTTGAAAACCCAATATTTCTAGCATATGTAATAATTCCAACGTTAAAAGATGAACTATTGCTTAAACTAAATAAGGAATTTCCTGAACGTCTAAGGGGAATTGGAATCCCAATAATGCCATTAACATTTCTAACCTGTGTTGAGAAATTTATAGACGATAAAACTGAAATTAAAACTGAACCAGCATTGGTTAGCAGCATCAAAATATTGTTACCAAGAGAGCATCAAATTGAACAATCGATTGTCAATGGTGTTAGAAACGGTTCATATACTAAAAAGAATAAGCCGCTAAAGAAGAACTGTCAATCTGATATAAGCAAATACTCACAATGGCAATTATTCAAAACCCTCAAGGAAGAACAATTGGCAAAATCTTATATTGAATATAAAAAATCCCAAACCTTAAGAGAAGATTTAAAGGATATCATCAAATCTAAACTTTCTCCAGATGGTTGGATCAGTACTTTTCAAGATGACTGTTTTTAACTTAGTAAACAGGAAGGAACTTTACGATTTTGAAACAAATTAGTCTAAAACCAGCATGACTTGTTTAATTACGTTTATAGGTACTTTAATTAAATCATCATAGACAGCAAGAGATTATACAATATCATTATTTCAATTAGGTCTTATCTGTTCTGAGATGTGTCGTGGTTTTTAAATAATGCGATGAATTTGGCATCGCGTAAATATTTCAATATTCAAATCACTGTAAAAGTTAAAACCAGTAAAATATTTAGATGCATAAGAAAAGGACTTGAATTGGTGATGAATTGAATACGTTGATTGGATTAAGAAAGTCTGTAAGCTTTAATAATGCAAGATATTCACCAGTTGATCAACCTTGCTCAGTCTCCTGACAATTCTGTCAGAGAAAAGGCGGAATCTGAACTTTTAGCAGCTTGTGATGAGGATGCCTGCATCGTGTTTCATTCTATGATTCAAGTAGGATCAAATGGTTTTGAAGAGTTGTCATCAAGGTTGTTTGCACTTCTGACTTTGAGGAAATTGATTACAATGTATTGGAGTCCAGGGTTTGAATCTTATAGGTTAAATTCTACGCTAAATGAAGAGATTAAGAATAACTTCAGAGATTCACTTTTGAAAATTTGTTTGGATGATTCTCAAGATACTAAAATCAAGAATGCTTCTGCTTATTGTGTAGTTCAAATATCTGCTGTTGATTTTCCCGATCAATGGCCAACTTTGTTGAACGAAGTTTATGGTGCAATTATGGAGAGACATTCTTTATCTGCAATTTCTTTGCTTAATGAAATTTATGACGATGTGATGTCTGAAGAAATGTTCTTTGAAGAAGGTATTGGTTCAGAGACGATTAGAATTATATTTTCAGTTTTAACTGATAATAATACAGGAATTGCTGCAAAAATTGCCTCATCAAAGTTGTTTCATTCCTGTCTTTTGCAAATGTCTGTACTAGACCCTCAATCTGTACATAAGAGAAAGCAGTTGGTTACTGAATGCATATCTCAAATATTAACTATTTGGAGTGGATTATTACAAAAGCAAAATGTAACAGAGATGTCGAGTGAATTTGAATTGAGGTCTAAGATTTATGAAGATCTAGCTATGATTAAATCTGAATTTCCTAGAAAGCTATTTTCAAAAGAGAATATTGAAATTTTTAGAAGATTAGTCATCAATGATCTAAATATTGCTGCTAAATGTTATAATAATGTTCTAAGTTCAGAAAATTCTGATACCGAAATGATACATATCAATGAATTTGTGATACATATTATAGAATTCTTGACTGCAATTTCAGACTTCAAGTTTTCCCCAGAGGATATAGGCACTATCTCAAAATCTTTTGTAACGCTGAGTTGCATCGATAGAAATACTGAAGAATCTTGGACAGCTGATTTCAATAGTTTCATCTCAAAAGAGACAGGATTATTTGCTTCTTTTACTATAAGAGACCAGATTGCAGACTTCATCTCTAATGTTAATGAAGGAGTTTATTCTGGATTTTACTCCTTGATCTTGAATGAATTCAACGAAATCATAAATTCTAATTCTGACTGGAGAACTCAGGAATCGGTATTATATTTACTACAATGCATTGCAACAAGTGAGACTGAGATTAATGAATCACTTCAGTGTAATACCCAAATATTAGTAACCGCTATTGGAAATATTATTAGCAACCCACCTACTCAATCATTTGTTTTAATGAGATCGATCTTAACTATCCCAAAATTGTTAGAAAAATTTATGGAAACTTTACCAGATGTTAAAGAGTATACCAAACAACTTCTTTCAATTAGTTTGGATATTGCATTAAGTAGTTCAGATGAATTAGTACAATCTTCTGGCTTAATTGCATTCACATATTATACATCTTTTGCTGAATTAAATTCTGTTTTAGGGGACGTAGCTTGTCGAGTTGAACAAGAGAAAGTTTTGAAGCTCATCCAAAATTTGTCTAATGACAGTGAAGAAGATACAAACGGTGTTTTAGTAGAAGTTTTGAATAATGTCATCGATTGTAACTCACCTCAACACCTTGACGAGACCATTTTAGAAGTTGAATTTGATTTCTTACTAACAATTTCAGTCAAAGATCCATCAAATATTCAGTTAATCGTTGAAGCCCAAGAATGTTTGGAAAAACTAATAGAATCGATGGATATTAACCTGTACAATAAATATGCTCATAAACTGTTACCATTTTTAATCAATGTGATAAATGAATGTAATCAAACAGGATACTCGTATTCGCCATTACTGTCGTTGGCATTAGAATTTATTAATATTTTGATGCGAAATAGACCTGATGACATTTCTTTACCCACATATATTTGTGAACAATTATTTTCTCCATTAAGACATATTTTAATGGTGTCGCAAGAAGATGAAACATTACAATTAGCTACAGAAGCATTTAGTTTTTTGCTATTCAATTCTCAGACTGATGTTATTTTCCCTTACTTAGAGGAAATTATAAATGTTTTAAGTCGATTACTTTCTATGGATATTTCTGATACAGCAGCAATGAATGTTGGATCTTTGGTGGTTACAATATTTACTAAGTTTTCGGAGCAAGTACAAGAATTAATTCCTGGAATATTACGTGCTACTACAGATAAATTCATTAACGCAAAAAATATTTCCACATCTCAAAATCTTGTTTCAGTATTCTGTTTGTTGGTTTGCACAGATCCTGCTAGAACGATAGATTTCCTTTACAATTTAGAAATTGGCACACCACCTCAAAGCTCCCTCCCACTGGTTCTTACCAAATGGTTAGAATCTTTTGAAATCATTAGAGGTGAGAAAAAAATTAAAGAAAATATTCTTGCATTAAGTAAAATTTACTTTTTGAAAGATAGTCGTGTGTCATCTATTGAAGTAAACGGCGACATAATTCCATATACCGGTGATCTTATTATAACCAGATCGATGGCGAAATCTATGCCAGACAAATACACCCGAGTTTCAGTATACCAGAAGATTGTGAAGTTGTTTGTTGCTGAACTGGGATTCCAAACTAAAGAACAGGATCCATCTGATCTTGTAGACAGTAAATTAAAGCAGGAACTTGGAATTCCACAACAGATGGGGGCAGCTCATGGTGACGATGATGATGATGACTGGGAAGATGTCGATGATGTTTTAGATTACGAAAAATTACAAGAATATATCGATGACGATGATGAGGAAGAATATGTAGGTGGTCCAGAATCTCAAGAAATCACCGGTATTGAAGAAGTTACTCAAACCACCAAAGAGTTGTTGATCGAATTTTTCAAAGAAGCTGCATCCAAGGACATAAATTCATTCCAAGAAATATATAACACTTGAAAGATGATGAAAAAAAAGATTTTACCAGACAACTTAATCTGATAAAAATTTTAAATACATCGATATAGAAATTAAATTATATACTCTAAAAGCCTTGTAAGTCCACCATCTATTACAATTATGACGTAATCTTATTTAAAAGTGATTATATTGTACGGCATTTCTTCAGTTCCATTTTTAAAGTGTCAGTAGCAGAGTCAAGTTAATAAATATGATTCAATTCAAGTTTAATTTAAAGAGAGGCATATATAAAGAACACTTTATGAATTTATTGAATATTGATTGCTTTGAATGGTTTTTAACCCAGTAACGTCGTGTTTTAGTTTATTTGGGTATATTTGTAGTTATGAGCGATTTCCAGAATTTGTTACCGATTAATGGTTCCTGGAAGACAGATGTGACCAATTGGATACAAGAAGATATACCATCTTTTGATTTTGGAGGTTTTGTAGTTGGGACTGATGCTAAGGGGGCTACTTTGTTATGCAAAGCAGATGGTGTATTATGTGGGATTCCTTTTGCTCAAGAAGTATATGATCAATGTGGGTTACAAGTTGAATGGCTTTATAAGGAAGGGGTAATGTTGAAACCTTCTGAGACAGAGACCGGAAAGATCCCAATTGCAAAGATACATGGTCCAGCAAGAAATATTTTACAGGCAGAAAGGTTATCTTTAAATATTTTGAGTAGAAGTTCTGGTATTGCTACTGCCTCTAGAACCATCATTGAAAAAGCTAGAGAATCTGGTTATACAGGGACCATTGCCGGGACAAGAAAGACGACACCAGGTTTGAGAAGATTGGAAAAATATTCAATGCTAGTTGGTGGATGTGATACTCACAGATATGATCTTTCCTCGATGGTTATGTTGAAGGATAATCATATCTGGTCCACTGGCTCGATTAGTAAGGCAGTCGGTAGTGCCAGAAGTGTCTGTGGTTTTGCTGTTAAGATTGAAGTAGAATGCCAATCTGAAGAAGAGGCAGACGAAGCAATATCATCAGGTGCAGACGTCATTATGTTGGATAACTTTACTAATGAAGAACTTAAAATATGTGCCAGAAGTTTAAAGACGAGATGGAAAGGTGAAAAGAACTTCTTGTTAGAATGTAGCGGTGGATTGACATTACAAAATATCGATAGTTATTTGTCTAATGACATAGATATTTATAGTACAAGTTCTATTCATCAAGGTACAAAAGCTATTGATTTTTCATTAAAAATCGATCACTAGAAAGTTTACTGATATTTTTTATGCCAGTTATATCAAGTTGATCTAAAAAAAGATCCTTTCGGTAATATATTTTCAAGTTGAATCATTACCTTTAAAGAGAACCCTTGTAATTATTTGCATATTTTTCTGGTATATAGTATATAATTCGATGTATTTATTAACTAGGTTTGTATATCAGAAGTATATACGTCAATAAACTCTGGTTATTGACTAAGGGAAATATTGTCCTGTTTATGAAATTCTTGATCCTCCAAGACCTTATAATTTGAGTGAATTCTGAAACTAATTTGGCTCTGAACAACATGTAACTTATCTGCATTCTCTTCTTGCCAGATCTTTAACCTATTTGATTGTCCAGTAATATCCCAATATACACCACGTAAAGTGGAAAATATTCCATGTCTACCTTCCCATACTGGGTAGAAACAGACACAGAAGCAACTAATAAACTGCCATATTATCATTACTACAACCCAGCCAGTAAAGAATTTTTTACTAAAGATATAACCAGTTCCATACATTGGAAGTGGCCAGATCACCAGAAATGCCAATGCAAAAAAAATACAAAGAACATAAGCAATCTTCATTCCCCTTGCCAATTCCTGTTCTTCCAGCGCTAACTCATCATTGATGACATCTATAGGAATATCTTTTGATATACTTAGTATATTTTTAATTTCGTTTTGTTCATTGACGACAGTGGATTCCTGTTTTTTCAAATATGTTGTATCTTCATCTTTGGATTCAGAGTCACTGTAAATTACCTGACCTTCAACATCCACTTCGAGCCCATTTAAATGTTCGATTGCCTCTATTTCTTTTGTTGAATCTACTCTGGAAATAAGCTGTAATAAATCCCAATTAAAATTCTGTGGTTTAAATATAAAAGTCAAAATTGGGATAAAAATTGCTGGTGACAGTAGAGCCACGACATTACCTGCTAACATTGGGTAATCTTCGAATGTTGACGATATTGTAAGTTCACTGAACAACGACTTGGTACAAACAAGCCATGACATAATAGCCAGACCGGTACCAAGTATTGGAGAAACAACTGCTGCAATTAAGTTTTGATCTTTCCAAAATAAAGTGAGAACGACAGGTAAAACTGCACTGGATATTATAATACCCATCATTTCATATAAATATCCGATACTGATACCAGCATATGAGAGGCCAGCCGAAAAGCCACTCATAGAAAAACCAAATACGATGCAAGCAATATGTGAAGAGTATATTAAAGTTTCACCTGATGCATTTGGTTTAATATACGTTCTGAAGATGTCATAAGTGAATACTGAAGAGACAGCAATTAATTCGGCTGACATTGCTGACGTGACAGCCATAAAAATCATTAAAAGTGTTGCAACTGCACCACCTTTACCCATGACGGTAACTGCAGCCGCAGGAAGAACTAACCCTTCACTGATCTGTTGTGAGGTCAAAACATCAGGATACGTTGGGAACGTTGGCAACGTCTCTACAGCCAAACATGCAAACCCCATAGTTACGGATAATAAACATGGGATTGCAAACCATGATAGACCACCCATAACATAACCTGGCAAAGCAGCAGCAGGAGAAGCTGAAATAGCTTTATTCCAATAGCCATTGTCCAAAAAGACAGTACCAAAATTGCCAACTAAATTAATAACTAAGAATATACCAGCTGAACGAGACTGCATTGTCATATATTCACCTTGAGCATTATGTGCCACTGGATGTCTCTTTGCAGCTGCACGAACTAAATCATAAACCCTACCTGGGGAACCTAGAATGTCACTATGAGCAAAAACTTCAAATGCGAAATATAAAACTATCCCAATAATGACACATGTATGAATGAAGTCTGTTAAAAAGGTGGCTTTAATACCACCAAACAAGGTATATATAATGACACCAACAGGTAATAAGAAAACTGCAGAATAAACGTTCATCCCACAGAGTTGACTGAACACTTCTGCGCCTGACGTCAGTAACATAGCGGTGACCAGAATATTTGTAGCTAAAGCATAAAATATATAACAACAGTGTCCAATTGTTCCATATCTTACTTTCATGATCTCTAAATAAGTATGAGCATTAGGAGCACGCTGTTTTGTTTTTATTGCAATTATTGCAAAGGCTACGATTTGGAAACATGCACCTGCAGCTTAGGAATAACCACCTAGCATACCATCTAGTTGTTTTGCTGAAGATGTCAGTAATGTTGAAGCCCATATCCAACTAGAGACGACAGCTGCGGCCACTAGACCAGTTTTAACTGTTCTACCTGCAGTGGTGAATTCTTCTGCAGTAATCAGTTCCTTTTGGTAACGTCTTAGCATATAAGTGGTTAACACCATCCCAAAGGCAAATACGGCGCCTAAACCAAGAATGATAGCGTATCCTGTACCTTGGGGTAGTGGAGGTTTGAACTCGCCCATAATTGACTGATGTTATTGTTACTATTGTTGTAGTTGTTAATATTATTATTATTATTATTATTATTATTATTATTATTATATATTGGATTTTCTATAAATTAAGTTCAAGAAGGAATCGAAACTCAAAACTAAAGAATATGAAATTCCCACTATTAAAGACAATCGGTGTCATATCTATTTATATTCAAGAAAAGTTAGATGTGTTGCCCATCAGAGTAGTTTCATAAAATATCAATTCACATCTCTTATCTGACCTCCAAATGAATAAAACAACATTAACAGGTGTGCAAATAAGATTCGGTAATACTAGTTTAATGTCAAATAAATTCGACAGTGTCGTTATGATATAGTGTCGGATAAGATTCCTTATCTTCATTCAAAGATATTAATTAATTGACTAATTGATACATTGATACATTGATAAAATATCCTGATTAGCATCATCAGGACGTATTTTTAAACCATGGTTGCGATGTCTCAAGCAACTTCCCATAATTCTGCATCATTCAACTAAGAAAATGCCGTACAAGAATAATATGTATCGAAATGTATTTGAAATTTTAGTCCTTGTTGATATATGAATCATAGAAGGTTGCAATTGTGCATAATTAAGATTAACTTCTTGGTAGCCATAACAGCAATTGATACCTGCTTTTAGATAACAACTACAACAGTAATAGATCAGAAGGTTGTCTTTGTATTGTGCTAAGAAGAATTAAAGATTAAAGAGGAGGATAAGATACGATACGATACGATACGATAAGATAAGAAATAATTGCCAAATTTGCGTTTTTAACTAATTAGGAAATTTGTATTGCATAAAATAGAAAGATAATAAGATAAATGTTAAAGTGACTGTCCAGATAACTACACCCGTACATTATAATATACACCATCTGTACATCCTGATATTTAGAAACAAAAACATGGGAAGTCACATGATAAGTTTTTTTCCTATGTTGTTGTATTGTTTATCAGTAGAACTGATGAATTATGTTTGCATACGGGGAAATATTCGTGCAGGACCACTGGGCTTAAGAGTAATTTTTGTCGGATGAAAAAAAAAGTGGAATCGACGCGACGCAAAACATTTTTTGAAACTTTTCAAAATCGATGAACCGCTAGCTGCTACGAAACACTTCTCAACTGGTGTGAAACTACTACAATCACTAAGGTCAGCAGTCTGGACCATAGACAATTTAGTATAGTATAGTGTAGTCAACTTTTCTTTCAAATGATGAAAGTTAGAGGAGATGTGGTAATTCGTGATGATGTTGACACGATATGTACTTATATAAGAGTATTGTCTTATTATTGTTGATTGTCAATATCATCTAAAAGAAACCAAGAACATAAAAAGGTATATTAATCATGTCTGACTTACAAAAGGAAAAGGTTGAAGAACAAGAACAACCACAAATCATCAAGATCAGAATTACTTTGACCTCCACCAAGGTTAAGCAATTAGAAAATGTTGCTAACAACATTATCATCAATGCTGAACAACACAGATTGGTCAAGAAGGGTCCAGTTAGATTACCAACTAAGGTTTTGAAGATCTCCACCAGAAAGACTCCAAATGGTGAAGGTTCCAAGACTTGGGAAACTTACGAAATGAGAATCCACAAGAGATACATTGACTTGCAAGCTCCAGTTCAAATCGTTAGAAAGATCACTCAAATCACTATTGAACCAGGTGTGGATGTCGAAGTTGTTGTTTCCAACTCCGCTTAAATGTTTTCAAATTAATTTACATTCTATGTCTTTTAATTAGCTCACATTTATTTATTCATCTCATCTCATTTAATTCCGACGTCCTTTTCTTCCATTTGTAAGTTGCAAACCACATTAGGATTATGCAATTAGTGTCATCTGAATAGTTTAAGAAGTCGTTGTTTTGACCCACTCTAGGTATCACAGTTTTTTAATATACCTCTGTCTTACTATCAGTGGTAAAACGTTTAATAACATTTAATTAACAATCCCTCGTCAGACAACATTAAGGTTTCAAAACGTTAAATAAAGAAGTTACATAATTATATAACCTATACAATTTGTAAGATATATTGGAACAAGAGTTCTCAAAAAGTCCTTTTCTTCACAGTAATTCGTTGTACTAATCCTGCCCAATCTTGTCATGAACCGGGTAGTCAGCTGACCGTAAATCAGGTGGCATGAATTGTCAAACTCCATAACATATTTATAATCCTTATGATGCAAATATGGTAGGTTGTCTCTTGTCTGTGGTATTGGGTTTATTACTAAAAAATATGAGAGGATCATTATCATTTCCCATAACATTTCTCACAACATCTAAAATTTCGTGATTAATTCATCATCTTCTTATAACAATGCAAGAAAAATTGATCAATTGGTTATTAAGGGTAAAATATCTAGATTAAAGATGAGAAGCCAAAAGTTAATGACTATTGGATTTGGTATTTAGTATTTAGAAGGGGAGCATATTTTGAAAATTTCCTTGTTCATTATCATTATCAGCTTTTTATTTCAATAATACATTCAATGCAATATTGAAAAATGTAAAAAGCGAAATTAGATAAAAGAAACGAATTCGAGATGAGATCTTAAGATAACAGTAATTAAAACTGATTTATAATCCAGGTGGATAGACCAGATATCATATCAACAGATAATACAATCAAATCAGCAATATGACAGGTTCAAAAGAGTATGTTTGGTTGCAACGATTCCATTATTTGTACCTTACCTCATGGGCTTAATTAAAAAAAAATGGATGCTTGATTACTAACTGATACGATTTAAAATAGAATTAAAGCATGTTTGTTTGACATGGATGGTCTTTTGATTAATACTGAGGATATCTACACAGAAACTACTAATATTATCCTAAAGGATTATGATAAAGATCCAATGACATGGGATTTAAAATTACAGTTACAAGGTTTACCAGGACCAGAAGCTTCTCAAAGGGTAGTGGATCACTATGGATTACCTATGACTGCTGATGAATATGCTAATTTGAATGCAAAGATACAGGGAGATTTTTGGCCAACATGTTCATTTCTCCCTGGAGCATTGGAATTAATCCAATATTTAAAGTCTAAGAATATTCCAATAGCGCTGTGTACATCCTCAAATAAGATGAAATATGAAGGTAAAACTAGTCATCTAAGAGATGGTTTCTCATTATTTGATGCTATCATCACTGGAGATGATCCTAGAATTCCCCCTGGTAGAGGAAAGCCATCTCCAGATATTTGGCAAACTGGTTTAAGGGAGTTAAATGAAAAATTTGATTCCAAGATTACTGCAGATGAATGTCTAGTGTTTGAAGATGGTATTATTGGTGTTAATTCTGGTAAAGCATTCGGTGCTCAGGTTGTTTGGGTGCCACACCCAGATGCTATTGCATTCATCGATGATATTGATGCTATATTAGCCGGTCAAGGTGAAATGTTAAAATCTTTGGAACTTCTTGAACATGCAAAATATTGTTTATGATGGCCTTTTTATACATGATTATTTAAATATGTATATCAACGGATGATTTAGTTTACATATAATGAATTTAAGTACTAATGTAAATAAAGATTATTTATCTGCATAATACTTATAATAACTATAACTATTATTACTTGATATTTATATTATGATTAGATGAAGCTCATATGACAATAGTGTTTCTTAATTAGCGTTCATATTTATTGTTGAAAATTTCATATTGGTGTTATGGTGTTATAGTGGGTAATGTTTGAATAAGTACGATATACTTTCACCATTATGCAAACGACGAATACTTTCTGCTAATACACCACTAATATCTATCACATCTAATTTTGGACACAATTTCATCTTTTCTTCAAATGGAACGGTATTTGTACAAACAACTCTATCCAATTTAGAGTTATTGATATTATTGATAGCATTACCAGATAGAATACCATGTGTAACTATAGCAATGACAGATTGCGCTCTGTTTTCTAGTAATACTTCAGCAGCTTTAGCTAAAGTACCACATGTGTCAGCCATGTCATCAACGATAATACAGATCTTATCAGTAACATCACCAACAAGAACCATACGGGAAACTTCATTGGCACGAGCTCTTTCCTTGTGGATTAATGCAAAATTCAAATCTAAACGATCTGCTAAAGTGGCAGCACGCTTAGCACCACCAGCATCTGGGGAGATTATTATAGATTCATTAAAGTTGACATTTTCTTTAATGTATCTAACTACACTTGGTTCGGCATATAAATTGTCTACAGGCACATCAAAAAAACCTTGAATTTGGGAGGCATGTAACTCCATAGTAATGACATGATCACAACCAGCTGTAGTCAACATATCAGCCATCAATTTTGCAGTGATAGGAGCACGAGACTTATCCTTTCTATCTTGTCTAGCGTAAGGGAAGTTTGGAATAACTGCAGTTATTCTTCTTGCAGAAGCAGTTTTTGAAGCGTTAATCATGATCAAAAGCTCCAAAACTCTGTCGTTTACATCACCAGCACCAATTTGAGTGATGATAAAGATATCTTGATCTCTAACAGATTCACCAATACTGAATGTAACCTCACCAGTTGGATCTCTTTTCAATTTGCTATCAGTTAATTTAATACCCAATCTCTTGGAAACTAATTCAGCCAACCCTCTGTGAACATCTGGAGCTAATAGTTTAATAGAATTGTTAGCCATCTTGTCTGTATCTCTGTAATAAATAAAGCTTTTATGATAACCAAACCAAATTTAATAATTCTCACTTTAGCAAGCGGTAGAACAATAGCAGATGATCGTGTAGTTTATATTGGATAAACGAATCTCAACACTATCCAGTAATCCAAAACAGGGAAAGTGCAGTATATTCTATTTATACTGATCTAAAACCGACTTCCAAAACAATTAGATAAGATCAAAATCTTCTATTACCTATCTTAAACTTGCTATTTTA